GTCTTCTAGATTTCCGAACAAAGAAAAACAAAAAAAAAGCCTCTGTAAAATAATTGAGAGGAAAAAAATATCTTAAGAAACTGTTTGGAGTTATTTATCGGTGTCTCTCTGCAAATGGGGATGGGTCTTCACGTGGGTCCTCTTACTTCTACAAATTTCAAAATTTATTATATTCGGTGACAAATTTTGTATATAACCTTTATGATAAATGAAAAAACATTACTAAAAAAAGTTTTTTTGGTTGAAGGGATTCAACGTGATTTCTTTTGTTTTGCATGCTAACATAATTAGATAGATTTATAAACGCATCCATAATAAATAATGGGCAAATAATTGATAGCAATAAATCTATATATACTTTTAAATTAATTAATATATGATCACGATTCACAATGGCAAAGAAATACTTTGCTTACTACTAATATATGCTTCCTCTTTCCAGCTTCATACAAAATTAAAAAAAAAAATGAAATTAAGTGTCAAAAGAGAGGTAAGAATTTGTTCCTTTCGACACCTTTGGGGTTTTGTTTTAGACATAAGCAGGTCGTAAATCTCAACCTTTGATGCTGAAGATTCCGAACAAAACTTGTGGAGACAAAAGTGTATGAGGATGTCTCGTTGGAGTGTTGTTAATACTTCATGTTAACCTCATACATTTTGACCTTCTTCTTCGTGTGTAACACTTTAGAATAATACGATTCTCTCTTTCCAACTTTTCTTCATGTGCTTTTATTTCCCTGCAAAACGACGAAAATATAGATTAAAATTGTATGAACCTATGAACACTAACAAGATTCATGAATTCTCTTGAACTCAACTACTTGCCAAGAACATATAAAAAAAAAAGGACTAGTTGACAAGAAGAGTCGAGATCTCTTGACCCTTGTTGTCTCAATTTGAATCTGCCATCTTATATTACAGAGCTATGGAAAGCATCAAATACAACAAATGTCAAGGATCCTTAATTTCATGGACTCTCCTATTTTAGTCCCCAGATTTCTATTCAAATCTTTTGTCTTGGATAATTCACAGGACCAGTGTAAGACATTTGCACCATGTGTTTCACTTTCATGTGTTTTTTTTTTTAATCTCGTTATTATTCTTTTTTGATTAGTGATTGAGAAGAGTGAGAGTTTGAACAACATACTCTGGTGGATTTTTGGTGGAGCTAGACTCTTCGAGGTGCTGTTCTGCCTGATGTACCTCTGATCTATCATCAGAAGCAGGATTGTATTCGACCCTGAGGATGTCACAGTGTGGTTCACCCAGAGACACTGCATTATAATGATCCAAAGTTTAAAATCTTATTTAATATAATTGACGGTTTAGATTCTCTAGTGATAACATTAGCAAACATGGGGGATTAACCTGTACATGGAATTGGATCTGCCACGCTGCTCTTGATCAATATTTTCTGGCACATTATTGTTCGTCCAAATTCCAAGAAGGTATACTGCAGAAAGTATCTCCTTTCCGAGATTGTCATTTTTGTAAATCCAAATGAATTAGTCCATGTGTTCAACACGCATGGAACTGCAGGCAGGACCAACCTCTCTACTCCCCAGTCAATGAGTACCTGGAGTACACATCATTTTCAAGAGAACAGTTAGAGTTCTTCAGGTTAAGTAAAAGAAGCTTCTTGAGCTGAAGGGGGAAGTGAAGTTTTCAATAATCAATACCTTTTCGAGTTCATCCATCAAAACTCGACACAACCCATGCTGGCGATGCTGGAATCTAGTACCAATGAAAGGCATTTCTGCAACCTTTTTTCCAAAAATTCTGAAAAGAGAACAAGTCAGGCTAACAACTCGATCTAGGGCCAAATACAGGCCACGAGGTTCTAGAGTTTCTGTAATCTTAAGAGACAAGTTAAGCTTTATGAAATCTACCTGACAGTAGCCACGGTAACCAGTTCGTCGTTCCTTTCTAGAAGTACTGTGTAAAATCCACTGAAGTTCAAACGTTTATATTTCGACCTGCAGTTTTCTTACCGTTAGGGAGTTTGATGCGAAAGAATGTAATAGAAGGCTTTAACATAGAATAGTTTATTGTATTCTTTGTTTCTCTCTTACCATCTGCTAAAAATAACATCTTCAGCAAGATCTCCCCCACCATGAGATCTTTTCACAGGCTCGAAAAGTTCATGKATCACATCAAGGGCAACACTGAGTTTGCAGTGATTTTCTGCCACAGCCTCGATTTTAGAAGTGTCAGTCCCAGCTGTATCAGGTTCCAAGGACTGCACCAGTCTCCAAGTTAAGTTATTCTCCCCGCCCACCTCTCTCGGTTTTCCAATAAGCTCACAGAGATTTACAAATATCTGGATTAATAGTTTTTTTATGTAAGAGCAATGCTGAGTATAACATGCAGTAAATTATCATAACTTGGGCTGAGAAGTTAGTTTTATGATGACTGTTAACAAATACAAATGGAGAACGGGGTCTGGATTAATGTACCTCTTCACAGTCCTTGCTGCAAAACCACTTTTCTCTCAAGAATGTATCCAATGAATCACCAGCATCATCATGACGCAGACAGCTAGGGTGATCTATACGAACCACATAAAAAACAGAACTTTAAATCATTAAATGTTTCGCTGACCCTATGTATTAGCATGGGGAAGAATTCCATACATTTAAGTTCGCATTGCTTGCAACTGATAAGCTTTTCCTCCGTGGCATATTTGCTAGTATCCTTGAGAATAGGTTCTCCGCAGACACCACAACAACATGATGCGCAGAACCAGTCACCATCTGGAACATCCTACAAAATTCCAACGAGAACGTGTTAAGAAACCACAAGATAAAGCTATAAAATTTGCACTACGGTCTTAGTAAAAAATGGTGAAAAGGATAAAACCTCCAGCCCAAGACAATTTGCGTGAAAAGCGGCTGGACATCCATCACAGAGAATCAGCTTGCCACCATATTGACAAACGGAGCAAATTATATCGTTCTCCCCTTGACGCAATTTCATCTTCAGAATATCAGGTGGCTGTGCTTTCTTTCTTGTTTTATACGCTTCTACTTGGCATTCCAAAAGAGATCTTCCATCATCCAAGAAGATATTGGCTGCTGCTCGGCAAGATCCACCATCAGCATGAACTTCAAAGCCACTTATGGTGAAAATTCTACGGCAACAGCTGCATTTTATACCCTCACGAGTTAGTTTCCCCTCTTTTCTCACAGTGTGATCCTTTTGGTTACGGCATCGTATATTTTCCCTTGGTAGAACCACATTGTTGTCGATGAGCCAAGAAAGAATACTACGTGGACTGTGATGTCTGGAGATGGGAGTTATTACCCGACGCACTCTTTTGCTTGATCGTGACACACGGGTTTTACCTCGACCAATTACTCGATTCTTGATATCCATTAACATTCTTGAAGTTCTCCCCCTTCTCATGCTCAGATTGACATTTCGCAAACCTACAATCACCTCGTCCTTCTTGGAGTTATATCTAAGGTCAGGTTTCTGTTTACGCTTACTTTGCAACCTTATGAAGCCTTGAGGTTTTGTTTTAGGCTTGAGCCTAACACAGAGTGTCCTTTTATGAGTCGGGAGGGCATTTCTGGGATAGAAATTGTGGCTTTCTTTCTGAAAGACCTCCTCTTTTCTTTGTGTTTCACAATCGAGCACGGTTTCAGAAGACGGCTTCATTCCATCACCAAGACCGACACTTTTATTATAAGCAGGCAAAGCCAAAACAATGGATGTCATCATTTCCTGGGTGTTATACGTCCGGTTTTCACAAGGCAGAGAAAGAGGCTTAGCCATCCCCGTAGAAGTCAGGGATTCATCACGTTGTTTCAATATAAAACATACTTTACGAAGGGACTGCTCCGTTAGCCTTCCATCTGGTGAGAGGTAGCGAAACCTGTGCTTTCCACCTTCATCTACTATTTGTTCTATGGTCCATCCCATATACTTAAGATGCTTCCTGACATGTATGGCCACTTTCTGTGATGCTTTCCTCATATAACTCGACACAGCTTGTGGGCATGATTTAGCAACACAATCAAAAGGTTGCCAATTTCCAGGTTTGTTGGGTAGTATCATATTTTTATGAGCAGCAGTAGATTTCTTGCTGGAAAATTCTGTTACCCTATCGATGTAACTCGCCTCTGACCTTATGCCAGAAACAGAAGTCAGTTCAGACAAGAACTGGTATCTCTCGCTTGCCGGTTTGTGATCTTTGTCAATGCAGGAAAATTGTTGTTCTTGTGGAGCAATCACTAGCACACCACTGGAACAAAGATTGGTCTCATTAACCTCTTGAGAAGCTTCTTTTAAGAGGTTGAACTCTTGGTGTGCGTTTCTTTCAGCATCATAATCATGAAGAAACTGATTTATGGTGATTCTAAGATTATCACCAATCACCTCCATCATCAAATCTTCCCATAAATGCCTAATTGAGCAAGTCCATTCCCCGATCCTCGCAAAACCAATCCTATCGCGTATGTCATACCAAAGTTGCTCTACCGAAACCGGGAGATAGTTATCTTCTCTATATTTCTCAATCAAATCAAGAAACAGCCATCTCCCACGACACTCCCACGTCTCTGCACCCTCATTCCAATCCTGAGTAATACGTAAAGACTGAAGGTCAGCATTCAATTCATCACCCAAATCAGGGAAAAACACTCTCCTTTTCTCAGAACCATTTTCGTGGTCGAAAACCACACCTTCCCACCAAGCTTCGCTGAAAAAAACATCGACGCAGAGTCCATACGCAAGATTCAGTCGATCAACTTCCATTTTTGGCGGCACAGGTCTTAAACGTCCACGGTAAATATCAGAAACGACTGCGCAATCAGGGCTAAACCCTTCTACTACCTCAGAAACACCAACAGTTTCCACAAGATAATCAGTACCATCATCAGACAGAATGTCATCATATCTGATACTACGCCGAAGTCGCTTATTCGACGCAATTACAGTTCCTACATACCAAGAACCCAAAGACCCTTCTTCAATACTCCTTACCTAAACAAGCAAAACAATTTCTTTCCACGATTAGAAGCCAAAGCAAAGTGGTATAAAACTCCCAAAAAGCAAGATTTGGCACTAAGAATAGAAAAATAGAGAAACTTTAAAGTCAATTTGTGAAAAACAAAATAAAAAGTCGGAACCAAAATAAAATTGGAGAAAGTGACAATGCAGCTTTCACGAAAGTCGAATCCAACAACTAGGCTCCACGATCAAACCCAAAACGTGGAAGGATACTGCAATAACCTTTAAGAAACAGCCGAAATTCATCAAAATTCTCGAAACGAAACAGTGCAAAAAATCACCGAAATTAGGAACCTCAAAAACCCTATAAACCCTACAAATCAAAATTAGTGACCCATTGTTGGAAACGGAATAGTCAAGGGGAAATAAAACAAGCAATCGGTTTTTTTACCTCAATTTTTTCTCCGACGAGAAGCTTTCTCCGGCGGAGATTTCGTCCACCGTTGCTATTCCGGCCGAATATCGGCGACTCCTTGTGCGCTGACATTGAGATTCCACGAAATTCGAGTGAAAAATTAGGGTAAGTTCGAGAAAACGTTGTGTTCTGATTCCGAAGCCGAGAAATTGTTAAGATCTCTGACGAACTTTAGGAGAAGCTTGTGATAGTAGCAGCTTTCTCCCCAAGTAACGCTGTTCTCTACACCTATAGTCTAATCTATCCAATTTAACATATTTTATTTACTTAAATAATGAGAATTATTTGTTTTTCTTATCTCTAATTTTATTTCATGGCCTTGATTTTGTTTTTGTTAAAAAAAAAAAAAAAATTGTAACAATTCTGTGTCTACCGGAGGAGAATGGAAATTTGCTAAATTACAATTAGTAATATGCACTAATTCTATTTCTTAACTAAAAATCTCAATTTTACTTGCACCATTGTCCACATCATCATATCTCATCTTTCGTTAACTATTCATTCTATCTTTAACATTACAAAATTGATGCTTCATGCATCCTCACCTTACCACAACTGAGTGCCTCTTGCATTCTAATCTTAACATGCCCAATACCTCTAGCATCTCATCTTACTAAACCAATGCATGTATCCATCCCTACCGAGCACCATCAAGGCACTCACACATATAGTCTCCCATTAAAAGAGTCATTCCGTATGGTAGCTCATCAGCAATCTCAACGGTCCTACTGAACGAGTCATTCTGTGGGCTGGTTTGTCGATTGTTATCAAGCCATGCGACCTCCTCTACACGGATCGTCGCATAATCTATAAACAAGTGCATCTTATTGTTTGCAGTCTGCAAACAAACTACTTCTCTTTGTAACATTAAATTCTTAATTCAGCAATCTAATTCCACTCAACACTCAAAAATGCCACACCAAACCTAGCATGCATACTACATGCAACAATCAACATGATGTGTCCATATATATTAATATAGGCATATCCAAAAAAGATGTAACGGGTACAATGTATTTACAAATCACCCCCTTACCTTAATCTTACAAATGAAGGGCAAACTTGGAACGCAATCTAAGAGACTACATACCTCATTTTGCACTTGGCTAGCGATGCATAATCGTTTATCAACGGGGGATCGAATGAGCGTTTGGAATGCATGAACGAGCTCGACTTGTACTTTGTGTTCAGATACCATGGAAACGAGAGATCACCTATTTTTCTCTTGTCAATTCTCCTATGAAATTATGGTCTAAATTAGCAAGAAAACTCTTCGACACTCGATACTCAACGGATTGGCAGGCTATTGTCAATTATATAACTGATAAGAGTCTCACTCACATTCAGCGACTTCTGGTTCGATTTGTTTTTCAAACTTCAATTCACACCATATGGAGGGAAATAAACACGCGACGACACAGCGAAGCGCCATCTCTTCCTGACAAAATTATTAAGTTCATCGACAAACAAGTTAGAAACTAGCTCGTCTCGATTCGAAAAACTGGCACTGGGAAGTACGAAGAGAGTCTCCAAGCATGGTTTGCGATCTCATGATCGAATATATTCTGATTGATTTTCCTTTCTGAAATTCTAAATTAAGCAGCATCTAATGTAAAAACGTTTTTTTGAATTAATTTAACATATAATAAAAAAAAAGACTACATACCTCATAATTGGGATTATATACTTTTTTGAAAACTAAACAACGAGATTCTTCTATTTATAGAGAAGGTCTCTTATCCCTTTCTGTATCGAGGAAAATTACTTCCGAAGTGGATTGGTTGCATATTCGGTTTTGCAGAGATATGCTTCGGATGAACGTCAATAACTCTCATAACACATGTCATCATTGAAAAGACAAGTTGTTTCGCCTATAGTAAGATATGAGAGTTGATCATGCTTGTTTAATTCCCTCTTCCTCTATAACGAGTTAGATTTTTCTTTTCCTCGTTTAAAATCCGCTGCATGGAAAGATCCCAGCAGGGTTTCACCGTTGTCTCATCTTTTGTCTCTTCTTTATTCCTAGGCCTCTT